GGCCATTCCTATTTGGTTGGAGGCCATCGCTATTAGGTTGGAGGCCAACACGCTTAGGTTAGAGGCCATCGCTCTCAGGCTCCATTGCTACTAGTTTTGCTAGTATGATATGTTGAAAATATCAAAGACTTCTCCTTGCGGATGGTCCGCCTTCCGCAGAGAGTGCAGCTGCACGTCTCCACTGGCGCAGGGCATCCGCCTGATTTTCAGGTGTCAGGGATGTTGGGCCCTCGGACGACATCTGCTGGAGGGCCCAATGAATTTGTTCAATCTGAAGACCTGCTCCTAGTAGCGATGCCAGGAGCCCCTAGTAGCTTCTTGTTACTACTAGTAAGGCACTTGTTACTAGAAGCGATGCACTTGTTCCTGCTAGGGAAAGCAACAGGCAAACTGCTCAATCTGAAGCGACGGCACTGGCTGACCTCCGCCCGGAAATCTGCGCTGCCAGCCCAGGAAAAGAAGAAGTCTTCCGCCCTGGGCAAAGATGCCACAGTCTAGCACATCTCACCAGAAAAGAGTTGGATGGATATATACATGGTGTAAAAACGATAGTGCCTGAAATTCAACACACCACAGCAGTTGCCGTTCTGTGTTCCAAGATGTTCCAATGGATCCAAGGAACTTGGCGGGTTCTAGCTAACAACCCAATCGAACAAATGCATTTTTTTGCCAAGGCGTTCAGGGATCCGAATGACTCAGCATGATATAGATCAAGGATTTACAACTATATGTAGTGCTCAGAAGACCAGAAGCCGCACAAGCTGATCATTGTAAACCATGCTGGGCCGCGGTGCTGGTAGCACAGGCGTGTAGCGAAGAGCGGGTGGCGCTCGATGACTGCACGAGGGACACCTTGGCAGGCTTAGATGCATTTTGATTGAAGGAGTTGAAACGCCCTCTCCCCCTGTGCATCCAGAACTCATGTCACCCATCTGGTCCTGTTTGGGAGCAACCGCGCAACGAATGAACCTGTGAGGGGACATGTTCATACTTCATACAACCCACCAAAATCAAGGCTGGACTTTGTCTAATTCGATTCATCAGAATTCAGGAGCTTCCACACAACCTCAAGGGAAATCAGCATCAGCCTGCAGAGAAGTGTACTAAGTTTATAGTAAGCAACATCCCTCGAATGAGGTCGACAATCACAAACCTTTCTTCACCATCATTTTCGCCCAAGTCGCTCAGACCACCGCGACTAAAGGGTGCTTCGCTTTGCGAGGCAGGCGTCCTTGAGCCAGAGCTCCTGGGGCTGTGGCCGAGGGTTGAAGGTTCCCAAGCAAATACCGGAATGTGATTCTGCATACAAAATGGTGGCAAGGTGCATGATGGTGCATGGCATTGAAAGATCAGGAAAGAAATTGCATGGCCCTCTGTTGATGAGCAATTTGCACAAGTCTGTCAAGTGATCGATTGAACATGCAAGGTTTCACTGGGTGACATTCAATTGCCCAGAACATCGCAGGGTAACCGTAATGCCCTGTGTTTCAAGTTGAGAACCAGCATGTTCAGCTGGCTCGAGCAAAAGCTGGATGAACATGGATGATT